GGGAGGGGGGGGGAGGGGGGGTTCAGGTTAGACCGTTCAAAAATCCGCCCGGGGGAGCACTAAAACAGACAAGACATAGCTTAACAAAGAACTAACAAAAAACCAACTACCCAAAACACGCCGTGCCCCAGGGCCGGCGGATTAATCACAGGTCTACATTAGGTCATGATCATAGAATGCGTCATGGAAGACTAGTTTAACTAGTTTGCCATAGGTGTATTGATGTTCTTTGTCATTTTCTGTCTTGGGGTGCAGTTCCTCTTTGCAGCTTGAACATATCGGTGGTCCTTGTGGTCATGGTTCCGTCCTTTGCAAGGATCATTGTGCTGCAGCTGCAGCTGCAGCTTTGTGACATGTTGTGATGTTTTAATCACGAAAGCTAGCCTCAGCTAGCTGGAGTCACTCTTGCTTTCGCTGGAGTCCTTGAGAGGAATTGGATGTTCACCCCGTTTGGCCTCAAGTCTTCCCTGCTGCAGTCTGTGCGAACACGACCTACCAGGCTGCGAAGAAGGCCAAAGTGGATCCGACAAAGAGCTGACAGTCTGTCGCTCAGACGGTGGCCTTGGGCTGATCCAGGAAAAGGAACAGTGCAACTAGTCCCAACTAATTATACCTAGCGCTTCCTGTCGGGGTGCCCTGTCTGGAGACCTGGAGACGTAATGTGGAGATATCCAGCCAGGTGACCCTGAACGGAAGCAGCTGGTACGTACATAATTCACTGGTTGCGATGCGGACTTTCAATCTTTCAAACCTTTTGAGCACTGAGTTTTAGAGACCAAGCGCATTGGGGGAGAAGAGGGGGGCATGGCTTTGGATGGCCCACCCCAGTCTCGACTGAAGCGGCGACAGATCACGGGTGACGGACCACGGTAGCGTCGCCCGGGACCGTTGCAGGTGCCGTTGACCGAGCTCTGCGCATGGCCGTGGAGCATGATACAGCGGCTGGAGAAAAAAAGGGGCTCACCCAGCAACGGTATCTTGTAACCTTCGAGCCGGATAGACTTTCCAGAGGAGCTGTGATTAGAGTTCCAGAGGATATTAGTAGCCAGTAGCTTTCAGATTTGCCAGATACAGATGCAGCTATATAAACGAAACTGTGGCTCTATATCCTAGCTTTGCTTTGCTTGCGAGGAGAACTCGGAGTTCCAAAAAATCGTCCAAGAGCAGAGAACGACTCAAGACTTGCTGAAGAAGGCAGGGGACAATGTTGACAACGTCTGCCCTGAGTGATCCTGAGTGACTGGATTGCTTCGGTTTGGAGAGCCACATAATTACTTGGCTTGATCAAAGATTGAATCAGGTTGACTTCCACTTCCTGTGGCGATCCAGGCCTTGGGTATTTTGGGAGACTTCTACAACAAGCAACCGGAGTCCTTTTTGCAGAAGGCATCCGTCCAGGACCTGTGGGAGCATGCGAGTTCCGGTCGCAGCCGCTTGAGGTTCTCTTTCAGGGCCACTGCTCTTGGTGAATGGCCACTCTGTTGGTGAAATGCCCCTGTTCTGGCACGATGGAAGTCCATTCCATTGCCACTACATCGTAGACTTGCAACAGCGCACATGAATTCTCAGATCAACAGATTGGATATATTTGGAAGAACGAGTTGGGATTGATGTGTGTCATGGGTTTGATTGGACTAGCATACCCAGTGGTGCCCAGGGTCCACCTCACCAGGGGCCGGATGAGCCAAAGACCTTTGGGAGCTACAAGAAGAGCAGCAGCCGCTGGGCAGAAGCCGTGGATGTTGGTCCGTCGATTCGGATGGATAGATACAGTATGGCAGCCAGGCATTGGATCAATGAGCAAACATATGCAAAAATGGGCCCTCTCACCGTTTCATTTACCAAGCTTTTGGTTGGAGATGGTTGGAGCAAGTACGGGTCGTAGAGGAGGACCTCTGCTCCAGTTGATTTGTTTCACACCGCCCTGAAGGCAACAACGGCGTCATGATGATGCTGCAGCAGCTCGTGGCTGAGGCGAAGGCCACGGACCGGCCACGGACCTCCTTCCGCCCGGCCGACGGGGAGCTGGAGAAATGGAGCCGAGCGTTGTTTTGTGAGAACCTGTGAAAGCCAAGACACACCGGAAGTGGAAGCAGCTATTTGTAGAGGAAAATGATAATCGCAGAACACATGTTCCACCTCTGATGGCTGTGGGTTCAAAGAACCTGGAGTATTTGATCTCTCCTTTGTAAAAGCCAGAATGGCAGGGCACTAGGGTAGTAATCAAAACCCTGCCAAGTGCATCCAAGTGCGATACGCACCCACACCATCTGTTGAAGACAAGCAGGGGACCTGGGGGAATCCTCTGCGGGGTCTTGATTTTGTCCCAATCATGACCAACCATGTCACAGACCCAAAGTCAGCTGGGGAATGAAGGGTTCGTTTTCTCTCTTCCGCTGAGCTGTAGCGAAGTAGAACAGGACACGAGGTCGGAAGGCCAAACAAACCGGGAACGCTCAGCTCTACTCGACCCCAAGGGATGCTGCGAAAGGCGGGACGTACCAACGACGCAGGAGATGGAAAAGGAGACCACTGCCGCTGAGGCCGAGTCTCAAGCAGACTATGAGGCCTGGAGGGCGCATGGAATTTGGGAAAGCCCAAAAGCTCAAAGTTGTAGGTGGTTTCTGAAGGTACCAGTGTTTACCCAAGACTAGACGATGGTAAAAGGCATGTCATGCATCAATGTCAGTCGGCGGGTTTGTGGGAGAATGACAATCGGAGCAATCACTTCCCCGGAGGATGTGTCAGGAAGTTTCATTTCGCTTCCTGCTGACGTGAAAAGAATTTCTCTGGATGTATTTCCCATATGCCTCCAGCAGATTCCTATTTCTTGACGGTCTTTGTTTGGGTTGCATTTGGTGATGCATAATGAAAAGGGCAAGCCCTCAGTGAACATGACGTTTTCATGGGGCTATGCTGGCATATCATGACTCCTGTTTTGCCTGTAAGGCAGTTACGCCATGTTACGTTTTGTTTTTCCTTCATCAGTGATTTGATATTTTCTTAAAGTGGCTGAGCATCTGAGCCGCAAGAACAGGAGCCACTGGATAGCTGCAAAGTGATAGACACGGCTCACTCGCTGTGGAAAACTCCTTCGAAGAAGACCTCTTTTGCGGTTGGTCCAGTCTCAAGTTCCTGAGTGCGTTGCCTCCCCAAGCAACAGATGACCATAGTCACTATACTATAGTCATCCATCGACAGAACACAGCGCACAGACGCTGTACGGCTGTACGTCAAACTGACCGTCACGGAATTACATTCTATAGACCGGTAAAGGTAATTCGCACTGATCAGACTCACGGCCCAAGGCCTTCGGAAAGGAGGCCATCCGAACCTTGGAGAAGAAGGCCAAAAGCATGGCCGACAAGGCGCCGTATGAAGAGAACGTGTGCTGTGCAACCTTTACAACAGCCGGTACTGTAGTGTGCGGAATCAAGAATGGAGTCCAAGAAGTGCTCAGCTTATTTGTTTGGTTTAATGCCCAACCAACGAGGCGCAATCCTGTCTTCTCAGTGCTTTGAATGGCACGATTTGGAGCACGAAGACCCGAGCAGAACACAGCGCAGATCTGGAAGAAGCTTGCAATCACTTGGGTGCGAGCTAGTTTCTGGAATCGAATGTAAGCTAGTTTCTGTCCTTGGAAGCTTGAACTGAAGGAGGAGAAGAAGGCCAAAGCGGAGGAGAAGCTGTTGGAAACGAAGATTAGCCGAAAAGGTTCCTCGGACAGCAGTGTGAAAGAGCATAATTATACGGTGTATAGAACGATCATTGAAGAACCCATTTTGCATGCCTCGTGGTGGTCCCAAAAGGCATCATATATGGCTTCAAGGCACTTACAAAATCAGATATTCCCTCTTCACATCTCCCAACCAAGCACACATCACCTGGTAGAAGCACCCGGGCAGTGAGAACCTCTGTGTATGGACAGGTGAAGGGGTGGACAGTAGATGATGTTGATGGTCCAACCAACAAAGGACCCACTCTCCAGTGGAAAGTCCACAGGAGAGGTTCAAAGAGACCTTGGCTGGACATGGCAGGACATGGACAGCCTGTTGGGCACATGGCTGGACATGGCCTGGAAAAACACTCTCCTTCTCGCGGTGACGGAGCAAGATCCGTTTTCTTTCAAGGGGCCTCTCATCCGTCTCATCCTATCTCATCCGAAGCTAGGTGCGAAAGACGACCTTGATAGCCTCGAGGGCACCAAAGCGGAGTTGCATGAGAGTCCCGGCCTCAATGTCCAAATCGTTTGATCTCTCGCTGCCTCTCTGCCTCTTGCTTCTTTGGCATTTTCAGGGTTCCGTCTCCCCGACCCACGCGTCTTTTATTGGCCGAACATGCCACACCGGTGGGCGGATCCGTTTCGGTCTACCCGCGGACCGACCCGCGGACCGACCCGCGGGTCGGACGATTTCGTCCCTAAGTCGACCCGTCGGACTCGTTCAGCCTGCGACTTCACCTTGGAGAACTTCGATGCTCGGCAGAAGGCCCGGGCTGAAGAGGTGGAGGCCCTGAAGCAGGCGCTCTGAGAACGAAACGCCGCGATCTCGATCGGCTGAGGGTGGTGTTTTGGGCGGGAATGGAAGGCTGTTTCTTGTTTGGCCATAGGATTTAGATGGATTTGGAGGTGGTTTTTTTGGGGTGTTGGGGTGGGGTGTCGGGGGCGGGAGCTTTGTTCTCCAGGCTCTCGTGTTTCTCTGGGGCTGAGCTCGAAGGGGTTCTGCTCCACAGCGACATCGCCATTGACAAGTCCATGAATTCACCTCACCTGATGAACGTGCATCTCCATTGTGTAATCATTTGGATGCCCAAAGACAAGGGTGACAGGTTCATTCCATAGAGGAAGAACAGAGAACAAACCTGTCCATTTTGCGGTTTCTATCGGTTTCGTTGGTTTCAAGTGAAGAACATAACTCCTGAGTTCCAAAGCAGGTTCATATCTCATGAACCAGCAAAAAGCAAGCTGATCAGACTCTGTATGTCAGGCATGTTCAAACTGAGAACCAGCATCCATCCCTCCGCAACGCAGGGCCTGGGGCACGCAAGCTCCACCCGTGTCCATTTGTGCCGTAGGAAATGCCCTTCCCGTCGGCCAGGCCTTGTTCTATCTCTCGGGAGCAAAGCTTTGAGTGGGGAGAACCAGTGGACGTTGGGCACCCAAAACCCTGCAAGGAAGAATGGATAGCGGTTCCTACCGCCAGGCAGCGAGGATGGTTCGTCGCGAAGTAGAGAGTATATGTCTTTATTGTTCAATTATTTAAAAAGACATTATAAAACGTATACAGTGTACAGTATAGTCATAGTCTTCGCATGCTCATTTGGCCAGAAGGATGCCTATCCAGAAGGCAAAACGATAAGGAAAAAGATCCATGGCCATCCAGAAGCACCGTGAGGATCTTTTCCAAGCTACTCTGATCTCAGTGAACAAGGTAGACAACAACGGCCAACAATGGAAATCCCCCTTTAACCAAGGGGCCACGTCTATAGTCTATTTTTACCAAAGGGGACCGACTCCGTGTGGATGATACCCAAGGGTATTGCCATTGCTTTTCCAAACAGCGGTCACTTCCTTGGAATGAAAACAGAATTCAAAACTGTAGCACCCGGTCACCCCGCCGCACCTCTTGGTTGGCGCGCTTGAGACATGTCCCACCTCCGCCGGCCGATGAACACCGCGTGTCCCGCGGCGCTCCGCCGGAGCCAAAAGAAGCAGCGGAGCCGAAGCAGCCGTCGGATGAAGACCGGTGAAGACATCCGAAAGGAAGATATGATCGATGATCATCCGATTCATCGGTCGAGACCTGCTGGTGATGATCATCAAGGGCTTGGTGACTGCGGGTGATTCACACAGAATCCTTGGGTAACTTGATTCACACATCGCCACGTGGCATGGCGGACAGGATATGCCATGTGGTTTGTTTACTCACTCTCTTGCAGGTTTGTTGTTAGTCGGCGTTCTGAAACAGAACGTAGTTGGGTGAAAGGAGGGTTTTTTCTCAACGCGGTGGGAATGGTGTCTGCCCAGTGAAATGGTTTCTCTTTTTCTGAATGTTCGAGGATGTGCGAGGGAAACTTCAGATGATTGATCCTGATGGTATGCTAGATTTCTGTGCAAACATGTAGAGGAGGAACATACATTTCTGAGGACAAGGGTATTTGTCCGCGTGAAATCTCCTGCACCTGATTTCCTGTGTCGATCGTAGAGTTACAGTCTGCACCGGTGTTCGCGACCGAACTGGGTTCTTCCTGTCCCAGCTACTGCACCAGCAATTTGGAAGGAGTGGTTGGTTTTAAATCTCTTAAGTCTCAAGTGAGTGGATATTGCCCCAAAAGCACCCTGAACTCCTGGTAGTGTGATTTTCCAGCTGCTTCTTTCGGGTGGCTTTCCCGGATCGCAGCTGCATGCGGCCCAGTTGAGATTGGGCCTCCGACTGCGGGGAAGTCTTTGTGCAGCCATGGGCGTGCTGATCTTGCTGACCTTGATTGGTCTTGTTTCAGGATTGTCGGGTGGTGGAATGAATACATTGATATTAAATATTAAATCTTGTCAAATATTTATTAATGCAATAATTACATATTACTAAATAATATTGTATATTGTATTTGGAATCCATTTTGTTGTGGACTTTTGCGACCTTGTTCTGGAGCAAGGGAGTTCTTTTGCTGTTGACAGATGTTGGATGCGCAGGTCTTTTCACGGAGGCCCAGTGAAACATCACAGCATCGTCAAAAGTCCACTGATGGAGGTCCTTTACTGACTCCATCAGCTCTTTGTGGTTTGCAAATGTCCTACCGTGCCTGGGTGTTCGGACCAGTATGGACATTGCTCAGGGTGATCCGAACTGCCCATAGGGCCTAGTAACCCAGTAGAGTCATAGGGCCCAACATAGTCCTGGTAAGCACAGGGGTTCGTTCACTTTCCCAGGAGCTCACGTGCGACCACTGCACGATGCCTGGCACTTAAGACGATCAGGATCGGATCTCAGTCCACACATCCCACGTCTGGTACTTTGGTTCTACATCACCTCTACAAGCACCTTAAAACTGCCAGGTCTCCTTTGCTTTTGGACGATGGCCACCTTTAGCATCGACTGCTGCACAGACCCTGTGACCCATGGCTGGTGACTGGGGGATTCGGATTCACCATCGTCTGAGTCCAGCCTGGAGCATCTGCATTGGAAAGGCACGGGACCTCGGCACGGTCTTCCGAGGTTGAACGTGGGCATCGAAGTCGAAGTTTATGTAACAGGTTTTGTGTATGTATAAGTATATAGTCGTTATATTTATTATGTATGTGTCTTCCATGTTTGTTCCTGATCAATGTCGGGGTCAGCAGTCGTTTCCTTGTTGTTTGGTCGTGAAGCGACGGTGGCTGTAAGCCTAACAAATGGGGAAGAAAAGAGAAAGCATGAGAGAGCAGCTGCACCTTGCAGATTAATTGTTAAACATAATCACGTTGAGTTACGATCAAGAAGTGTTTGTTGGGACAGTGGCGTGCAGTAGCTACAACTGCCTTCTTGATCTTCTTGGCCATGGTCCAACTGTTCATGCTCTATGCTTGATTCGGATGGAGAAGCAAATCTGTTGGAGAATTCTCAAAGACGCCTGTGTCCTTGCCCTAGCGGTGCTTCATTTTCACATACACCACCAACCTTCAGCCTCCAAAATCATCCCCCACAAAAAGGACACAACCACCACAGCACTGGAAAAAAACACCAGAAAAGAGGCCGCCTCAAGTTCCTTCCACATCCATCAGTCCTGTTATATAGAAGACCCTCAAGATATCTCGAGATCCACCTCATCCACCTCATCCACCTATCTCAAGACCCTTTATCATCTTGCATTTTACCCAACCACCTCATCCACCTCAGGGCGCCTCATGCCATGCTACTGACCTGCCAGGTCAAGTCGACAGCCGGGGCGTCCCAGCGGGGTGTGTCGAATACGGTGACCCTCGCAGATCGGAGATGGGAGGTCATCAGGATCAGCTTGGACCACGCGAAACTAGACGATATTTAGATTTTTAACACACACATGTGAGCACTTTGACATGAATCACTGTTTATATTATATAGATGTGTTTGGAGTTCTATTCTCGTGAATTGTCCAACAAGCACCCCGTTGGGAACTCTTGAATCGTCTTGGTTTCTGCTTGTCCCTTGTCGGTTCGGAAAGTTCAGCTGCGTTGCGTTCGACACACTAAACGCGGTCGACACACGCAGCGGTTGCGTTGTTCTCAATTCCTCTCAGGTTTGGACGAATACTTGGCATTGACTAGTCTTACAGGCAGGCGGTCTGAGAGTCATAGGGTCCATCAAGCTACTCTTAAGCAAGCTCACATGAGGACACTGGTAAAGGAAGATAATGTTCCAAATGTTTTGTGTTGCCGTATTGCCATTCTAGTTTGGGGAGAAGTCGCATGAAAGCATCCCGAAATTGTTTCAGACAGCGTATCAACATCTTGTGGAGGAGCCGCATCATATATATATATATATATATACTAATTCATTCTTTGCGTTGCCTTTTTTTTGCCAAGCTTTACGCTAAACATGCTGGATAATTTGGCAGGACTGTATCCTCAATGACCTGCCGTCCAGCCTGTGGCTTTCGATGGGTTTTTGAGTCCTAATTTTGATCAGAACCCAACAAATCCAAAAAAGTAAGAGAAGAACTGAACACCAAAGACTGAACACCTACAGAATCCTCCAACGTCAGAACCCACCTCTCTTTTGGCGCTTTCGCCCGACGGTTTCATCCGTCTCTTTCTAACCGGTCAGATCCGATGCCCAAGGCCCAGACCTGAGAGACAGAGGGTACCGTGTAGGGAACGACTGGTTCATTTAGCTGTTTAGCTTGCTTCATCATCCACCCACTTGTTTAGCTGTTGAGCTTGTTTAGCTTGTTTAATTTTTTTTCATCACCCACTTCTGTTGTTAGACAGCGTTCAGATGTGTTTTTTTTGTTTTTTAAGTTTTTTTGGTTGGACATGTGGTGTTGGGACACCAAGAGCTGCTAGCAATCCTGTTTGTGTGAAGAGCTGAACGCAAGGACAAGTTCAAGATGATAGACATGTTTATCTCATCAAATCATATCTAATCGACCTAAACAAAGCCGTCATGAGTCCTGTTTGGACTTCGTCCAGATCCGCCCCAGCTTCCTTCACTTCTCGACAAAGGCACCCAATCTCGAGCTCCATCGCAGGCGCCTCCGAGGGGGGGATCAGGTGGACCCCACGTGGACACCGATGGAGAAACGACACTTCCACGAGGTGAGTGGCTGACCGGTGATGAAGAGAGCAGCCTGACCTAAAAATCTGTATGGCCGTTACACCAAAAACACACGGAACCTTAAAACATCACAGGACCCTTTTCTCTCTCTCTCTCTCTTTCGGTCTCTGGTTTCAGAAAGCACGAAAGATGAGAAGAATGACAGCTCACCGTGTTGGACTTCTTGAAGTTGCTGCGCCATGCACGAACGCCACCTTCCTCAAGTCTCCGGCCACTTATATAACGCCCTCCGCCACGCCTCTCCTCCCGCCGGTCAGTCGGAATCGGTGCCAGGCGAATGTACATCGAGTGGACGCTGCTCTTCACGTTGGTGCCATTGATTCCGGTCACCCGGTGGGACACGGTGCTGTTCGGTCGGACCAGGTGCTGCTGTTCGGTGCTGGGTCGGTGTCTTTAAAACCGCCCGACTCCCGTGGCGCATTGGGTTTCCAATTGGGAGTCCGTTTCGTGAAAGGATGTGATGGTACTGGATGATGTCAAATCATCATGTATTGTATACATCACATGGATAGCAAGTGCTTGAACTAAAGACGCCAGCTGGATTCGCATCACCTGATCCTTGTTGCGTTTTGTTTGGGCAACCAATCCCCAAATTCATGTCTAAGCTTTTCCAAGTCGACCGACTTGGCGCAGAGATGCCAAGGCAGTGACCCTGCTGGTTCTATATATGGGTTCTGCGAGGAGGGTCAGCTTCGGCGGATGACGAACGGCTGGCCATACCACGCTGGAAAGCGGCGGTGAAGAACAAACGGGGACCTTTCCTGACATGTGTTTTTCTGGGAGGCTTTATGATTCTTCATCCCTTCGAAGCATTGATCATTGCAAGGTGATATGTCCTGCATCACCAGCAGTTATATTGGGTAGTTGTTGGGAGATAAATGAGATAACTATATATAACTATGAGGGCCTGCAGGGCCTGCAGGCAACCAGCCAAATCCATGAATCCCAAGGGGAGCCGTAGGAGCAACATAGGATGTGTTCGACCCTACTGGTGCACTGAAACAATGCATGACAAACCCTACATGGTTGAAGCCCCGCAGGAACAGGGGTGTGTTGTGTCTTGTGTTCGGCCGAACAGCAGGACGCCGAGCAGAGAATGTGACGCTGCTGATGATGCTGCTGAGGCGCAATAGAGAAAATCCCGAATTTAGTTGAATTGTGCTTTAGGGGGACCTATGCCAGTAGCTAGAAAGTCGAGCATTTCATGGTGAGTGATGCATGTATGTTATCTATTATTACCCATGTCAAAGAGTTGCCATAAGAGTTGCTGTCTCTGTTGTCAGCTGGAGTCTTGCAAAACAGGGTCGTAAATATACTCGCTTCCTCACAGATCCTCCTTCTCCTCCTCCTCCTGTTCTTGTGGTTGTTGTTGTTGTTGTTGTTGTTAGGAGAGCTTGTACAAGCTGGCTGAACACACTATACTGTGGTCATGGTTTCTCGCGCCAAACAACCGGGATCGCATGTGAGGGACCAGGCGGAGGCTTCGCGGGTCCGTTTCAGTAACCAATGAGCCACCTGTGGCGGGTCCGTTTACTTGGCGGCGGCAGAAAGGACATCTCTCCACTCACCAGGTTTGGCGGAACCCGACGTCACACCTTTACTTGAACCGACGGTGCCTCATAGTTTTCGAAACCACCGTTCCCACGTATGATGGCGGGTTCCCGGCGTTGCGGCACATAGGTCTGGTGGTTAGCCTGGCTGAGAAATGCTGATAATACAACTGACTTCATGGGTTGATGTGTGACGGAATCGTCCGTGCTGAGACATACTAAATCTGATGGATCCCATGCCGTGAGTGCATGTTTTTCCATGTATGTCGCTGGTTTTCCGTCATATTTGATCGGTCGCCTTCTTTGGATCCTTGAAGTTTATTGAAGTATTCTTCGGCGTCGACGGTGGACTTTGAACACCAAACTGGGTGGCCTTACCTTCATCACCACCCCAATTCCCAGATCTCCCTCGTCTTTACCACAAACCACCTAGAGTCTAGAGATGCTGCGCCCAGGGCGGCTGACCGCGGCGGGTCGCGGGCGTCCGTTTCGAGCGGGAGATCCGGAGATCTGCGGCGACCGGACGGACGGTCGTCCATGTGAGTCCATGTTTGATCATGTTTCGTTCATTTGTCGTTTCATGTGTTTTTGACACAAAAATCAAACATGTGTGTTTGGTTGAAGCAGATCGAACCAAGGGAAGCTCAAAGAGTGGTTGGGTTGTTCATGGTCTTGAGACGTTGAGACCATCCGTACGGGGCAGCACAGCGATCCGTGCGGATCCGTCCTTCGGGGGATCCGTGCAGACCATCCGGGAGACCTCCGTGGTCACCAGTCTGTTGGACTCGCCCCGGTCTGCACGACTTGAATCGGAATTTGCAACAGCTGGACGGGCGCAGGTCGATGGAGATGCCATGAATGAAGGATGAACAAGAGCAGAGAAGGGCTACACCTTTCCACATGGGGGAGTATGAACCTTAGATTTTACTGTAGATCAAATCAAGTGAACCTGTAGACGCACAGCCATCCTTGCTTCCATTCGCGAATTCATACTGTTTCGCTTGTTTGTTGTGTCAGATCCATCCGGCGTTCAATTGGACCGTTGACGGTCGAACGGGCGGATCGAGACCCGGACCTGGGAAGAAAGAGGCGGTGAGCATGTTGGGGTGCTGCCTTGGTGGTTTGAAGCACATGCATTTGTAAAAGGAATTCCACTAGCAATTCGCAAAGGAAGTGACACTGGGTCAAGGAGGTGTGCCACTGACATAAGGCTTCTCCATGAAGGTGGAATCATCTATACAGTATGTTGCATGCCACAAAACCTCATAACATATATAAGATATTATAAGATTATGTGTATAATTAATGTTGAATCCTCTCAGCTGTGCAACCTTTCTGTTGACACCACAGACACAGATTGGGGCGCATTTCCAATTCACGTAAAGGATTGATTGAATGAATCATTAATTGAAGAGAATATGATATTTGCGCAGTGTAATCAGTGGGTGCCCCCCGAGCTTGAGCTGAGCTAACCTGAGTACGTGATGCTTTTCTTGGGAGGACCCTTCATTTTCTGGGGTAAGAGTTCTCCCGTTGAATCCAAACACACAGCCAGGGATCTCCAGACTGCAGGGAAGACCCATCGAAAAAACTGATTGCTCCTACATTGGGATCCACACACCTGAACAGGAGGCAGGCACTAAGGATTCCAAGGACGAATCACCCTGGTTTATTCGAGATGTTCTTGGACCCGCTAGCTTTGCCAGCTGTTTCTTCACTTTTACAAGGAACTTCAGCATGTCCAAAAGGAAAGTTTGGTTGATGAAGGTGAAGGATGGTGGAGGTTCTGTCGTCAAAAAGCATTCAACAACCATTGGGTGTTGGGGTCTCCATTTTGAAGCTACACTTGCATTTCTCATGGTCATTTGGCTCGAGGTTATTGGCTGCGCAAAGTTTTTTGTCATTTTCGAGGACTTGAGATCGCAATGATGCAACTAGATGCTGGACGTGGGTCAGATCGCATCATTCCGTCTCATTGCCAAACTCTTCATGTGTGTACAAATAACCTTCGAGTCACCTTAGTTGGAGAGACATGGCCATGCAAGCCACAGCGCCGCTTCGACAGGCCAGGGCACATGTGTTGGCCTTGGTGCACAACCGCCAGCCACAGCGCTCGAGGTTTGAAACTCATGTCATGACTCATGTCCTACCCAGTCAGAAGATACAGAACCTCTTTGGGAGGATGAGGATGTGTGTGAATTCCCCCGGTTTCGCTCACGCTCACGTTCTGGGTCCAACGGGGTCGGCGGAATGGGCCTCGGTCGGTGGCGTTCGACCCCCGCGGCCCGTGGAGTGCGACGGAGCCGTCTGGGAGCGATGCGGAGGTCCAGCGCTTTCGTGCGGAGTCTGGGCACCAGAAGAATCGAAGAGAAAAGGTTTGCCCTACCCAAAACAGTTGTTGGATGTTCTTTGATGTCATGGCACATGTATTTTTTTGAATTTCGAGGTCCTGATGCTATCTGATGCTAACTGATGCTGATCAGTTAGCCAGCACCAGGTTCAAGGGCATTCATGGCCGGATCCATCTCGACACGTGTCCAGCACGCCCAAGTCTCAGCATTTGGCCAAGATGGCACAAACGGGTACACCATGGCAACAAGTCTGCTCATATTGATCACACCTTTTGCATTTTCTTGTGTTTGCCACCCTTCAGCCCCTGAATTTTCTCTCGAGATTTACCACTCACATCCTTTTTTTCTTTGAGACCTTTTTTGTTGTATCCGATTGACATCTACATTATTCACAAGTAATTAGGTAGGTTCACATCAAGAATTGCCTGACTCATTCCTTCCCCCGGCGGAGTCGGCGAACTCAAGCCTCCGCCTCCGAGGTTCCCCAGCTGCTCGGAGCTTCACGGCCGAGTGCCATCGCGCGGGGGCGGGGGAACCCAGCGCAAGCAGTCGCTCAGTGGCGCCTTCCCCCCAGTGGTGGCGCCTCCTTTCTGCTAGACATGGCGCTAGACATGGATGCTGAGCAGTCCAACATCGATTTGTGTGTTGGTTTACTGTCCGCCCTTATTTGGCCAAAGCCTCACGCAAGTCGAAGGTGGAACCTTCGAAAGGGGTTTGGAGCGACAAAACCGGAACACCTCTCGGAACGGGAGGGGGACAGGGAACGGGACATTTGGTGCCGGTTGTGGCCACAAAAATGTTGAACGGACCACAGGTGCTGTTCTTTTCTTTTACCACCTGGGAGGCCTCATATGGGATGTCAGGGGTGTTCGTCTCGATGGTCTTGGCCATGGTTTTGAACGATGTGCCGGGTTTGGAGCCGCTGGTGTCGGCTTCCTCAAAGCAATACCTTCAAGCCAGCGCTCTTGAAGACGGAGTGGAGGAGCCAGACAGTGCTTTCGCATCATCCTGGGAGTAGAATCCGAATATGTGGAATCCCAAACCAAGAGAGTTGTTGATCATGTGGACCTTTGCTTGTGGTATCTTGTTGTTACCCTGATGGTATATCTCACCTTTGAATTTGCTCACTCTGAAAGACACCTGTCCGCGCTTGGATCCTCGTACTCCAGGTCATGTCATGCTCCTCTCTGGCTCTGCTTTCGTCGCCTTGCTGCGCCGCTCTCGTGTCCAGCGCCGCGCGCTTGCTGCTCGGAAGGCGCGGTTGTCAAACCAATGGGTGCAGCCATCGAGTGAATCGTATCGAGTTGAACATCCGCAGAGATCCAGTAGGAATTGATGTGATTTGGACTCCAGGTTATATAATCTCTCCACACCGTGCCGCTGCATCAACCTCTCCATCCTCAGGCGGCACCACCTGCAGTGGCGCCTCCGGTAGCTTCCACGGCGTCCACGCCGGTGGAACTCTCTTCTGAACTGCGGTCCTTCCTCGAGACGCCCGGAACCACTTCCGGAGCAGGACATGCAGCACCTGGCAAGGGAGGAAATGCATCGATCGAAGGCTGGAGAAGATTTCTGGATGTGATTTTGGGAGTCAGTTCTGAATTAAGATAAATCAGCAATTAGCGGAAACTCCGGGTAGTCAGTGAAGGAGACGGGCACTCATGGACACCCCACACAACTGGCACTTGTTGGATAAAACTTCTTTGAACAGCGACATGACCGTAAGTCATCCCTCAAGCCTTCCGGGTACCGAACGCATGCAGAACATCGGCGCAACACCAGTTATACACATCAAACTGGTAGAGGTACCGAAACAAGCCAAAAGGCTCCCAAGTGATTCCATGGATTTTGGACACACACACACACATTTGTATCATTTTGTATCGTATCCTTCAGGTATCTATCGTGCAGAGGCCGTCTGGCAGAAGCTGAAGTCTCGCGCCTTACAGAAGACGCGCGGCGAGACGCTCGAGGAGCCGCCACAGGTGGTCCAAAGACTCTGCGGACCCTTGGAAGGGAGAGCTTCCGGCTCCCACGTGACGGCGCCGGTGCACAAGGAAAACGCGGATGCGAAGGTGTATGATGTGGTGGTTTGTGGTGGCACGCTGGGAATCCTTGTGGCAAGGCGAGGGGGGCCAAATTGAAGACCATGTCAATGTCAAGTTCAAGAGTTTCTTGGTGTTGTACGCATTTATTTTTTGCAGCATATGTGTATATATATAATTATATATATATAATTATATATATATATATGTGTATGAGAGGCCTTAACCTTTGGCAAGGTTTCATACCCTTGTGGTTGTGGATGAATGATTAAATTTGCGCAGATGCCTGCCCACCTGGAGGTCCAGGAATGTAGACAAGACTAGTGGAGTTGAGCCCCCAAAACCCTGTGGAGAGGATAATGACATAATGAGGCTGATTTACTCCGAACCACTCAATTGTAGGTCCTAGTCCGCTTGCCATCTTCCTCAAAGTGACCTTCTTTGAGGAAGACAACACATTGATGAGAGGGATTTTTAAAACAAAACATGACAAGACCGAGGTCTTTCTGATTCTATCGGACTCGATCGTTCTTTTCTCGACCGACCCACATAATTACGCCGACCGAGATCCCTAACGCGTGCGGAACCATTTTTCCGGGATTTTCGCTTCGCGGCGTCGCTCCGGGCAGGTCTCTTCAGAACCGGGGCTTTTCAGTGTGCATCGTGGAGCGGGGTGTGGTGCAGGGGCGGGACCAGGAATGGAATGTGAGCCCTGAGGAGTTGAAGCCCTTGGTGAAGCAGCAGATTGTGAGTCAAAAGGAGGTCTGTTTTGGTTGGTTGGTTGTGTGTGTGTGATTTTTTCTTACAGTTTCTTTTTCTTCTGATGGTTTGTTTTAAAGCATGGTGGAGGGCAGCATAGCTGCTGGAATAGCTATTAAGCTTAAGCAGCTACTACGGATCGGACGCAGAAGTGCTCCGGCTTCTTCAAGGAAGCTCTTCCATATAATGCTAGAAGGGGGAGTCTGGCGGTCTAGAGTCACGTTAGCCTGGTGCACATAGGCAGACAGCCAAGGCCCCAGTCCTTGTGTCACACCAGTCCACAAGTGGGCCTCAGCCATCGATCTGCACCCTGTGAGGTGGAGCAATCGATCCAGTCCTCCTGGCCCAAGTCACGAGCCTTTGTGGTATTTTTTGTTATTTCGTTTTTTTTCTTCGGAGTGCATGTGCGTTTTGTTTTTTTTGGGGGGGATGTTTGTCCCGCAATCAATAGGTGGAAGTAAACGGACTCCCATGCACAAATTTCAATAACAATCGTCTACCAATTTAGATAATGTTTCTTGGTTTGTGCCATCTTCTTTTGAAACCACAGTGTAGAGGCAATCGTTTGAATGCCATGTCCTTTAGAAGTGCGGCAGCTTTTCAGGTGCTGCGCAGCTTTCTCAGGTGCGAGACGGTTCCAAAGTCTTAAATCATCATTAAACCACCCAATGTTTGGAAACGAAGACATTGCTTGAAGGCTTGGACCCACAGGGTTGGACCCTGAAGACATACTTCACCGTGAGGGTCCATGAGGGTGCTCAATGGAATCCCTTCAAAGTTCTTCCAGCAGATGGGGTGAAATATCCATGGATCCCTAAAGGATCCCTGGTGGCTCCCTGATGCCACTAAGGAGTTGGCTTCGAGGGCTCGACGGCAGTGGACTTTGAGGCAGGCGCCTTGAATTGCATCCTTGGATTGCCAAGCAGATCATTTTCAGAGGTCCTTTTTACATTTTTTTGTTGTTCTTGATCTGAGAACCAATTCAACATGAACCAACTCACCGAAACACTTTCCCAAACACATCAAACAACTCAGGCTGCAGAAACAGCTCCTCCCCGGTAAACGCGCCTTCTTTTTTGGGCACACCCAGCCTTTCTGGACCGTCTGGACCGTGATCGAGAGGCCGCCTCCCAACCCGTCCGTCCAAGGCGGCCTCTCGCCCCGACGCTTGGTGGCCTTCGCCCGGCAACGCTTCGAAGAGCAGGGCGGCACGGTGCTGGAACAGGCGAGTCTCCAAGCCTTGGAGGTGCGGCGGTTTCTTCCGCGTGCGGCGTGGATTCCGCGTGGTTTCGCGGGGGGGGGCGAGGCAAAGGTTTTTGGGTTTGCTTTGGGTCACCTAATACAGTATACTGAAGGGGGGATGCTGTGATGCTGTGATGTTCGGAGACATTGTTGATGCCAAGGATGTCTTGCCATCAAAAGCGGAGTTCAGTCGGCCGGACATCGATTCCCATTCCTGTCCATAAGGTTCTCGGATGTTTTCGGTTGGTTCCACCGGCGGCAGGTGGCAGGTGTTGGTTGTCGATAGTAAAGGAATCATGCACGTGGCTAACCTGAAGACCCTCCCTTTAACAATTCTGGTGGAAAATGGCCACTGGAAAGACATGGAAAGACCACGCACTCCAAAAGCAAGGGTTTGTCATGGTTTGTCCACTTCCTTGTTTGTTCGAGGTAAGGTATATACTATATACCACTATCGCATTGCATATGGGATGCACTGACAAATACGGACAATTCCATCCATCCTGCCAAACCATTGCCAAACCCTTCAATCGTTGGGGAACTGTTCCTTGAGGGCCAGAACACGTCTCCTGGATGACGCCGGGTTTTTGTTAGGAGAGGCTTCGAGGCCAAGAAACAAGACAAATTTCACTAAGATTAAGATTCTCAACCTTCCTGTTGACAGCATAGGCCGCGTTTTAGGAGATTCTATTTGAACACCCAATGCCAATGACAGGACTTCTCTTTTTTTCTGGACATTTTTGCTCAGTTTTCTCCCTGAAGCAACAGAGGTCTACGATGACCAGGTGCTCCTGCAATTGCAAGGGGATCTGCCACCGATTCGTGGGCGCCTGGTTGTAGATGCGATGGGCTCCGGGTCACCCATCGTTGCACAAGCGCGGAAGGGAGCGCCCCCAGACGCAGCTTGCCTGGTGGTGGGGACCATGGCAAGTGGTTATCCCAAGGAGGGGTTGCTGTGTTGATGTGCATGTGCGGGCATGGCGGAATTCAATTCCACATGTGGAACAAACACTAGTGTTTCCATTTGTATCGATCTATGAGAATGCAGACAGGATGGACTGGATTATTCTGCTCGTTTCAGCCTTTTATTCTGTTCAACCCTGGCCAGGAGGGCAACAAAGGGGGTGACTACTTGTACTCTCAAAAACCCAGCTCTGCTGGCAGCTCTTCTGACTCCATTGGCCAAGCCTTTTGGGAAGCCTTTCCATCTGCGAACGGCGGGGCCGATGGCAGCGATCGGACCACCTACTTCTTTACCTATTGTTTGCCAGGCTTAGAGGATCTGCCTTCCATCCCGAAGGTCTTTGAGAAGTATGTCGAAGCTCTACCTCAGTATCAAGGTGTGTCGCTGGAGCAGTTGAAAGTTCAGAGAGCCCTTTGTGTGGCCTGGCATGGATATTCGTTGTTCCCGACCGGACATCATGACATCTGGTTTCTTTCATTTTCTTTCGGTTTTGCCTTCACTTCTGTTTTTTTTGGGGCACTCCAGACCAGGGCCCAGCCCAAAACAGGCTTCCCGGCCCGGTTCCGGGTCCACAGATGTCGAGTTCATCATTTCGCCTATCGACCTAGGCGAGCTTCGTGGCCTATCGAGAGTCTCCCTTGCAAACACCTTTCGACCGCATCCTGCAAGTGGGCGATGCCGCCGGCATTCAATCGCCCCTCTCCTTCGGCGGATTCGGCGCGTTGTGTCGACACCTGCCACGCCTGGAGACTGCGATCTCGGAAGCCTTGGAACAGGACCTGCTGACAGCTGAGGACTTAAGTCACTTAGACTCTCCGGAAAAGGGAAACGACCAACCAGATAATATCACATATTTGCTTGTTGTCCTTTTGGTTTAGAGGGCATTTCTTGTAGACCACTGGACAGGTTACACCCTCTGGATATCAACTGACCGGGACTGGACAGCCGAGGTCAGATCAACCCCTACCTGCCGAACCTGGCCATGCAGTGGTCCATGTATCGCTCCATCGCGCAACCGCCCGAGAATGAGCCCGAGTTCGTGAATCGCATGATGGGGGGCATCTTGAGCGCGGCCGAGCGATGTGGCACCAACGTGATGATGCCCATTCTTCAGGAGAAGCGAGTGCATAGCAAGTGTTTCGAGTTGGTGAGGTGGACTGGAGGACTTTCTTGAGAGGACGACCGGAGACGCCACAAATTGCCACAAAGTCCAGTCCACATCCTTGCTACTACACTGCATCGGTGTTTTGCTTCAAGAATTCTGATCCTTGAAGTGACACAGTCACCTTATTGATCCAGTCACCGTAGCTGTTGTCCTTCTTGGCCGTCCAAGCGGCCAAAGCGACTCCTTGTGCGCCTTCCCCTCCTGACCCTTGCATGGGGCCTCAGAACCTTTCGCGATCACTGCTAAATGATTTTGCACCGTAGAAGGGCCAAGACTAAGCATTTAACGGTCTTTCTCATGCGTAACAATTCCTCATCACCCCAAGCCTTTTCTTCAGCTCTGTGCGCACGTGGAGAAGGCTTGGGATCAGTGGTTAAGTGCGCGGTGAGGCTTACAGAAGGCCGTCATGGAGTCCTGCACACAGAGGCCCCAGTGGACCTTGTGGATTCTTCCAACATGGCTTGGTGCATCAAACAAATCCAAAACTCTACTGTATATACTTCACACATCTTCACACATTTTGATCACACACTCTTCAACTTTAAAGATCCCAACTGGTTGGCCAGTCCTTGATTCTGGGTGATTTCGTGTGTTGGCTTCGGGTGTTGATTTCCGAGAGCAATGTAAATAAACTGTTGATTGGTCACAAGCCAAATGGGAGGGCTTATTGATCAAGAATCTACAGTCTACATGAAAGGTTTAACTCCTTCTACCGGTGGCCCAGCGAGCTTTCGCTTCTCAAGAGATGACGAGGTGGTGATCATTTGGGGGTGTGGGGTAGGCACTAGGGACGCATGGGCAGTTCCAGTAGTAAAACGAAACATTTTGGACTCCTACGAGGGTCGTTGAGGCCCAACTGTGGCAGCGTGCAGGACGTGTTTACTCTGTCGGCCCTTGCGCCGACGTTGTCCTCTTGGCTCTCGAAAGACCCTGCAATCATCCCCCTCTTCATCAAAAGTATGGGACCAGAAACTCAGCTAGACTTGGCTGGCTGCTGTGAGTTTGTGTGCTTGCCTTCAAACGATTCGCTTGAGTTGCCAATGTTGCCAGATTTTTTTTTTTGGGTTCGGCTCGTGATGGGTTCATTGGCTTAAAAATCCCTTGTCCTCCTAGAAACTGGTGGTAAAGGGAATGGGTTTTGCCAGGCTTTGCGGTTGAACAGGTCGCAGTTGAACAACTAGTTACATGTTTGTTTTGACCCCTGACCATCCTTGACCCAGCAGTGAGTGACAACAGAACCCAGTGGATTCCTTTGCACCAAAGTAGAACCATAGTTTCTAGCTTGGTGCTTTTGGCTCCGCGATGCCGCGATGCCCAAAGAAAACCTGTTGGATCACATGGTCGCTCCAGGTCGTTTACAACTCTTGGGTTGCAGACCAACCCCAGGTCGCTGTATGTTTGACCTCATCAGATCTTTCTCTTGTGTTGTGGAAATAGACATGTCGTTTGTCCGACTGTCGTTGCAGCTTTGTAGTATACGACTGTTTCCGCAGCCTACGACCAGAAGTGCTTTTTTTTTTTTTTGAGTTTAGCTATTTTAATCATGTTTCCAAGATTTTCCAAGAACTTCAAAGAAATCCCTTCGTTGAAACACGTGCGCAACAGCCAGACTTGCCCTCTATCGAGTTGCGTCTACCCATGCTTTTGTTTTTTGTGGCCAGTTATTTAGTCGTCAACGCACTGGAACTCCAGTGATAGATTTTCGGTGGTGTTCCGACAAGGAAAATGTTCTTTCTGCCCTGGGACATCTCAGCGGCCTGGCCTTCTACACCGTCCTCTCCTCGCTGGAGCCGGTCATCTCCACTGTGCTGCGCATCGACGACGCCACGGCCATGCCGCCGCGCGAGCGTTTCGCGTGGCGCCGGAGGTTTGAGGCTTGGAAGTATGGCAGTGGCCTAGACTATGAGAGTCACCAGTGAGCGAAACTGAGACCAACCCTGCCTCCCATGAGACTTGGATCACGAGTCTGGACAAGACATCTCTTGGCGCTTGGTATAGTTTTAGTACGATCACAGTAAACTACCTCAAAACAACAACGACACGACGACACTCTTGTTCTTTTTGTCGCAAAAGACTGCAAGTAATATATATATATATACATAATATATATACACCTGTTTTTCTCGTGCAGTTTGGAGCTTAAGCTGCGTCATGTTCTTCTGCAGAGAGACTTGAACTCTCGACAGTTGCCATGAATTCGCCCTCTTTCGGCGGGTAGACGCCTGAAGGTGCCGTTTCGCCCAGTTTTCAATACCAAGATCACAGAGCATTGGTCAACAAGTGCTGTGGGACGGGGTGGCAATCATGGCATATCATTGCTTTTTTGGATCTACACATGTCTACACAGTATCACGTCTACAATTGCGATTTTTTTTCAGGAAGGTCAGGGTCATCAAGCTTTTATCGATTTTCCATATCCACAATGTCAGTCTGGTCAGACACTATCATCAGGGATTCAGGGATAGATGTGGAGCATCACACCATGTTACTGGTAGCTTGTCCAAATTTGACCTTCGTCAATCAAATCCTAGGCAATCTCCCCACAAGGAACCGATTTTTTTGGACCATCAACCCGCGAACCCGCTCTTGAATGGACATGACAGCTCGTGGATCTAATCTTACACAGATACAGTAACTGCTTTGGGGAGGCTTGCTGATCCATGTTGATCACACATTTGGAGAGTTGGTGGATTCATTGCCGTGTTACTCAAGCTTCTGGCAACGTCACGCATCAGCCATGATGAGAGGATGACACAATCAGGCTCCCGAGTCCCACGATGACCGGAAATCAGCACTCCCGGCACGGAAAAGCTGAACAAGATCGTTCAAGAAGAGAAATGCATCCCCTCAATTTGGCCAACCCTGACGAGCAACAGCCCGTTGTAGGTACACGGAGCAAGCGCAAGGCTGTCCCTCTCCGAGAAAGACCTGGGCAAGAAGAGTCAAACTGGAGCAGAACGCAGGACCTGCTCAGAAGAAAGAAGACGCGAACAGGATATGCTAATATGCTGACGTCACCGACTTTCGGGAAGCTGATGTTTGATACCATGATACAACAAGATCATCAATATCAATATCATCATCAATACATCGACTTGTTCATTTTCATCTAGAATTCACCAAGCTACAAGGGACAGGTCCCAAACCATCCAAAACCCGTCGGGCAAACGGGAGCTCTCAGGCAAAGCAAACACCGTTTCAGATCAAACACATGTAAACCATGGGCTTCTAGATGCAACGTTAGACCCACTGACCCAGTGCATTCTACTGTATATTTTAACCTACCCCCCTAAACTGCAAGCCCACCATTCACAGCTGACAGCTGACCATCGGATGTAGCTGCGATCAATTTAAGCAACCATGGTGCCACGGTGACCTTCAGTTGATCCAAAAGCAGATCACCTGCCGAGGCTGGATGGATTGGTCGGGGTGGGGCAGGATTGCACACGTCCACAGCTCGGTCGCTCCGGATTAAACAATGATGTTGACGGTCGCTCCGAATAAGACTCCCTGTAATTCACAATAATTACGCAGATATGCAGGTTTGGGTTCTTTAAAGTCATCAATCATCAACAGTAACTAGTAGTTGCCAGCGTCGCTGCGAGGCGCCCGGTGTTTTCGTTGTTTTTCACGTTCTAAACGACACCGCGCTGCGTTTGAATGTGTTGACATGGGGTGTTTGGGGTGGGGGGTGGGGCTGGAGCTAATTAGCACCTGTTGCGTAGCGTGCTATATACTTGGGTTTGTCCTCTTGCGGTTAGACTCGGTTAGACACTCGTTTTGGCCACACGCATGCTTTTTGGGGCTCAGTCAAGACGTGCCGGAACCTTTGTTTCTTTTTTTTGGCGCGGTTCGTTGGTTCTTTTGTTGCGGTTGGTGGTTTTGTGGACATAGACAAGGTACCCCTGATTCTTCGACCTTGGTTTCGTGTTCACCCGGGTTATCTGGACGACTTGACTTTAGTTTGGTGTAAAGTTCGTAGTGGGGATCCTTTGGTTGGCTTGACCATCGAAATGGTTTTGGACCAGGACCATTGGTGTTTGGATTTTCAAGGTTTGACGGACTGTATACTCAGATTTTTGTGGGCTTGTGGTTAGCAGTTTGAAAACATCACTTGGAGAGTGGTAAAGGTTTGCCACCTTTAGTTTCAGCGTAGTTGTTTTTCCAAATGACTCTTGCCGGGGGGCACCATGTCGATGCTACGCGAGCGTGCCTCTGTTGAGCGCGCTTCGGAAGAGCTTGAAAAGTTGGCTGCCACAAGCAGCCAACAACAAGCAAGGAAAGGGTGTGAAGGCCACGCACTCAGCGAAGCTGGAGATGCGTGTGTGGCCGTGGGTATTTCGACGTGACAAGATGCATGGATCACCTCAGGAGAACGTTAAAGCACTCTCCAAAATGTGGAACACGAAGTAGTTCTGGCAAGTGGCGAAAATAGGGTGCGCACGCGTGCGCTGGAGGGTGACTGAGGGCGTGATGACTGATTTGCCGACAAGACCAGGCGCCTGGTGGCGTCGTTCCCTAGTTTGCGCGGCGGTTGGGTAGAACTTGCTGCGTTATCCACCTTTTCGTTGGACAGGGCTTTCAAGACCAACACGGCCAAGTGCCACGCATGAGGTCAAAATCACACTGATACTAGGAACCGTGAGGCCTTGTTTGAATCTGACCTGCTGTTGAAGCACGATACATCCGGAACAACACTGTAGAGCCCTAGCTGCAAAACCCACAGACACAGACCTCGATCCATACCCTACCGTCTAGCTCCACAGAGGTACCAAACCCTTGCTTTCTATGTGTCCATCCGTTTTCTTCCATCACTCCATGGCCAGTGGCAGGTTGCGCCGGCCGCATGATCCCATGCACCCAGCACCGCCGCGTGGAACCGCCGCCCCAGCGCTGCTCGGCCTCCGGATCTGCGCCGCCACCGCGGAACCGCCGTGCGGTGTCGTCCACGTCCGCGCGGCGGATCTTCTGCCCGCCGGCGAAGGCGGAGGCCTGTGAGGTGGACGAGTTCGCCAGCAGCGAGGCGATCGACTTGGAGGTCTTGTGCGAGCGATTGCTGTTCGCGGTCTTGAGCCGATCGTACGAGATACCCAGAGGCGCCTTAAGCAGGGAGGTGAGCGAACTCTTGCAGAGGATGCTTTTGAACGTGCAGGAAGGGTTGGAAGCCCTACGCTTGCTTCTTGAATGCCTTCAAGGATTGTACAAGTTATGTTTTCATTGCTTTTCACTTTGTCGGCTCCTCAAAAAGCCGCTCTGGGGCACCCATGCAGATCACATGATTCTATCGAGCTGATTGCCGGCCCGAGGTTGACTTGTACTTGGAGCTTCCGGCTTTGTTGGCTTCCAAACAACAGCACCAAGAGTTGGTTGGTCGCTGCCAACGCGGCCAAGAGTTGGTGGCACCAGTGGTGGCAGCTGCTGGAGATCTTGGAGAAAGCCTCGGACGGGATGGTCTCTGCGGGGCAGGGGCTCTTCAAGAGCTATGGAGTGCCATTGAATCCTGGTTCTATTGCGCGCCAAAGATGGGTTTTTCCTTTTTGTTGCCGTCCAGTGGATCTCCTTAGGGAAATCAATCATGAAAGTGAGACGACGTTCTTTCCAGCTGTCTCCAAGCCAATCCCAGGAACCTGGTGGAGATCCCCAAGCGTCTTCGCTTCAAGAGGATATAGGTGCGGATAGGGGAGGAACGATGTCTGTTAAGGGGAGGAACGAAGGAGAACCAGAGGTCAAGAGAAGTGAAGTGACAATCGTAATGCCTTTGTTGGATGGTCACCATTGGTTTTCTGAAAGACATGGTTTTGGCCGAACCCTGTTTGAAAGAGAATGATGGGGTAGCAGTGGGTTTGTGTCCATTTGGCAGATGAGGTTTTTGTCCCTTCCAGGTGTGTTCCAACCTGTTGGTTTTGGGTCCACGAACCGGCCAACAAATACCGTTGGTTTTGGAGGACCGAACTCGGAAGGCCTCGCCGTTGTCACCCCGGTGGCGCGTGCCACATCCCCTACCGTCTCTTGCCTCGCCCGGAGACATGGCGCGTGAAAACGGACCAGCGCAGGCGAGGTTCCCGGCTTGGTTTTGGGTCGAAAAGGTTAGCGACGAGTTTCCGCTGTTGGCGGTTGGCCCCCAAAAGTATGGTTGGCGCATGTCCTCTCAAGCGTTTTTTTGGGCAAATTATGGCCCCAAACCCGGGATGTTCGGCCCCAAGCCGCTTGGTTAACGAAAGTTTCTTTTTCCCCAAGTCCACCCATGGGCAGCTTGAAATCATGTGATGGCGTCATCCACCAACATCCTGTACTACCTAAAAAAAGACGAGAATGCCCGAATGCCCTGTTCCATCATCCATCCATATTGCTTTTTCCAACTACTCCTGGATCATCCTAGATCCTTACAGATCTGACAGCAATACGGTAATACAGTATATCTCTAGCTGGTAGGCTACGACGGCTTGGTGAGGTGCTTCTCGGGATCTGGTCGTAACTGGTCTCACCAGGCAGACTTCGTTCCTCTGGTCCATCAGCAAACCAGAGGCCAAGCGTGAACGAGATCCACGTCGGCAGCAGCGTCATTTCAGCAATGTCCACCCAGGCCAGGCGAGGTTCCCGAGAGAGTCCGAATCACTGATGCCCTGTGAAATAGGTCTTGGGGGATGGAGAAGGTCTCCTGCCACCACCCAAGAAATCACAGGGATACACGGGATACATGACTCTTTGTACATTGCAATGTGAACGCAAGCCATCTCTCTCGAACTCAGTTCCTCCAAGTTGGAGATTTTTTTTGACACATGGATATGTCCAACACATGCTTCAAAGACAAACTTCACCGGATGTACTGTTCGACTCGCTCTGGTGCGATACGCCCACCGAACCTTCGGGTGTGTGGGTGTGTGTGTGTGCTGTCTACATCGACCGGGTGTCCACGGAACCCGCCAGGCGGAGACCTTCTATCAGGCTTTTCTGATGTCCTTGGATCCCATCATGGGCGAGGTGATTCCACAGGTCCTCGAGCATCGGAAGCGCTTCGACCGGCAGGTGCGGACGACGAGAGGCTCTATACGAAACGCGTTGAGAGACGAGCGCGCGACGCGTCGATCGGCGCATGTTGGAGGCACGCGACGCGAAGTTTGGAGTTCTGCTAGGTGGTGCTACTACTGAGCAACAACACCAGCAGCAATAGTTCTTATGACTACTGCTAGTTCTATGCCACTACCACTACTGGTGCTGCGACTAATTACTGGTCCTTTGACTCTGGCTTGAGAGGCCAGGGGCTTGAAGATGTACTCGCCCGACTTCCCCGCAGAAGTACCTCACAGCCAGCTCTGGCAGTTCTACCCTGACAGCTTTGCAGCCGTTTGCGTGAAGCAGAAGGGTGAAGGGAATCAAAGGCGACACTTCGGCCAGTCTTTGACTTGGGGTGGGTGATGGTGGTTGTCAAACTCAAAGACCTCACTGAGCCTCATTCAAGATGGTTTAAAAAACACACAATAATGTGTCGATGAACATCCAAAATTCGGTGGAGTGGTCACCGCCAGACGATCCAGTTGATAAGAACTTTCAGCTTTGCTCAGCCCTCAGAATCAGCTGAAGAGGTTCTTGGTGTGAAGATGTTTCAAGGGAGAAGAGGCTTGTGCCTCCATCCCCGCCCTTTGCAAAAGGGAATCGCATTCGCAGTGTCTTTTTTGATAGGGAGGCCCCAACCAATGGACGTTCAAACATGTTTGCTTCCTTTCTTCCAGAGGGTCGAACTGGGAGGCCTCCCTATTTTAATGCACGCCCATTTGATCCCTCTGAAGCGAGCTTCATGAGTTGCAAATTCCACTCAGCCCTTCGGCCCTTAGGGTCCCAGGCGTCTTTGGTTTGGGGTTGCAGCCTCTAGTCGGGCGGCGTGGAGCAAAGCATGCGACGGGTGTCTCAAACGTCAGGACGTTCTCTACCGACCACACCAGAATTGTCAAGAATTATCCTGCATCCCATGAATGGCGCATGAAAAAACGTGACTCCAATAGTTTGCAGAATAGGAAGCTCGGTGAAAGCTGGACCTTTGGACCAATGGGACACCGTATGACACTGTCATGACCCGGTGACTTGGATGGGATGGAACAACTGCCCTCGGGAACTTTTGCATGTTTTTTGTTTTGTATTTGCGTAAATAATTAGACAGACGCCCACACACACATTATATATATACGCGCATAGTGCCGGACTGAAAGATAGAATGCCGTTTTGCAAAATTCATTTCCGTTTTTGGGCGCGCGGGTCATTCTCTGGGCGTATCCAATTGACCCCTTGGCCAAATTCTTCGTTGAGTCCTTGGTGGTCACTTGAGTTGATGTCTGTATGTGCCAACATCAACTCCAGCTTTGTCCTCAGGCCTGATTCAAGAAATAACTCCAAGGCCTTGCTGCCATGGTTCTTTCTCCACAGGCAGTTGTGGGTGGAGGGCTTTACGAGTACGGCGCGGCCAGTTCTTATGCGGTGATTGCCGCGACACGGGGAGATCTCTTCGCAGCTGATTCACTGGAAGACTGGCTACGAGCAGTTCCCCTCTCACATTCATGGTGCCAGCCACGGTTGAACTGGAGCGCGTTCACGCGAGAACCGCCTTTGTTGCCTTGGGTGGCATTCAAAGTGGGCGCCTGTCACGCCTTGCTGCGTGAGCCCCTGCTCAAAACCCTGGAACTCGCATCTGGGGAGATTTTCGAGCACTGAAAGATGCGCCGGGGTTACGCTTTTGTCTGTGCTGGGCTGCCGTGTTGATTGCGAAGAAAATGCCTGACTCTATGTGTGGGAGCCCGGGATTCGATCGCACCCATCTGGAGCACTCAGCCCACATGTGCTTTGGTGTTGTCACATGATGATTGCACTGACCGAAAGAAGCAGTGATGACTTGCAATTACATTTTATGTATATGTTCATGTCCCGTAGTTGATGGATGTTTCATGCCACTTGTGCAGGTTGTAACTCCACCTGACGGTTCTTTTGAAGCAGCTTGTCCCGGGGGGGGTTGGACAGGCTAGCGCTTTTCAAGTGCTTCCAGAGCAACTATTATTCTACGGGCGCTTGTTTTTTTGGAAGCATGCCATTATTTTTACCCAGTATACCGGTACCTCTTTTCCTAACCCAACCGATTTTTTCTCGAATGCGTAGCGAAGGGTTTCTCGTTTAACTCTGGGGGTCTGGGGGTAGACCCTTGTTCGCGCCTCGTTGTCGTAGCGACTGTGCGCAACCATCCACAGCCGTCGGCAATCATTCGCAATCGTCCGCGGCAAGTCGCTATGGTGCAGACACTGGGCGAAGCCTTTGGAGAGGGGTTTGGATGGACGCATGATGTGCCAGATTTGTGTGGAATAGCGAGGCAACGTGTGGAAACGTTGCGTGTCAGGCGGTTGCTTCGAAGCTGAGTTTTTGCGACAAAATTCTGCTAAAATGGTATCGTGTGGTGTGGTGCAAAATTGGCTGAAGAAATGAAGGTGTCATGTCGTCGCTTCTTCGTGGCAGGTACAGTACTTTGTGCGTGATAGAGGTATCGAGGTTCAATTTTCGTGGGAGGCTGTGGTTTTGAGGGGTTGGACGTGGAAACTGCAGCGCGGGAGAATGTGTTGTTGCCTGCTTCACTTTTGAAGGAAGTCTCATACAAAACGTTCGTTTTGGACTTTGACCTACCGACACCATGTCCGCAGCATACCGCAGTGGGAAGATGCTGCAATTCACACTTGAGAAACAGCTTGCAAGTTTCATGGCGCTTCAAAAAGTGAACTAACTTTTTACAACCCAGTTGTTGCGTTAACCCATTCGTGCAAAGACGACCTGAACCGGGCAATGGCCCTGGGCAGCGTGGAATGGCGGCAAGTCAGAAACAATGATCGATTGAACAGATGCAGGCGCAAGAGTTGGCGCCCCAACTCTCTCCCAACTAATGTCGGTAGCTTCGTTGGCGTGGGTGGGAAATCACTCTCCGCGCAGTGATTTTTCTGGCGTCTATGAATTGAGAGGAAATTGAAGCAGCAAAAGGTGGAGTATGGTAGGCCCCTGGAGACGGGCTGTGACAGAGATGCGCGCGCGCACACAGAGAAAAACGCCCCGCGGAACAACGCCCAAACATATCAACATATTCTTTCTGCACACAAGCTGGGCCGCTCGTCGTTTTGTCTAGTGGATCTTCTGCCCTCGCTGCCGTGAACTGCTACCTCCAAAATGCCAGCCGTGTAGCTCAACAAAGTCCGACATTTGTCCAGATCATTGCCAAAGCATCAATTTCTAGGACGTTAAAAATTTGCCAGACAAGCGCCAGCGACCGGGCAGCACTATTGTCTTCGGACAGTAGTGGCTTTGGCGCGCCAACTGGATCACCGGCTCCCGCGCAACCTGCGCGTTTTCCTGCTTGCAATGTGTGCCACCTGCGCTTGCAATGTGTGCCCCGCAGCGGCTTCAACGTTTCAAGTCCAATTTCACATCACCCAAGTAGGGGAAACAATTAGATCATCTTCATGTAAAACATGAGATGCCTGTGGTGACGAAACGTGAGACATGCAGAACGCACTTGTAATTTCCTGTGAAACGTTGGTGATGTGCTGTTTTGTGCGTGCAAGTGCAAGTTTTGGAGGTAAACTCGCGTAAGGGTTAGTCTAGCTCCATCGGCTTACACTTTGGAAACCGGCGAGGCATTCTAACTTCCGGTCGGGCACTGTAACTTACAGAACACAGATCTTTTGCAGCCCAACCCTCCGCTGTGAGTTTTGTTCTAGCTTCTGAGTTTTATAGCAACTGATCTCCTTGTGATATTTATTACTATGTAGATTATATCGCGCAATTACATGTTTAGCGGAATATTCAGGTGGACCATTGGCTCGGCTGAGGACAAGCCTCCGAAGGCTCGGCCCTCGCCAACGCCTTCGACATGGCGGGGCTTCGGATGCTGCACCGCACAGTGCTTGAGGCCTTGGTGGAGATCGATGCAGCAGGAGAGGCCTTGTCCTTCCAAGTGTTCCTCGCACAGAACTACTGCGCCAGAGATGGAAGATTTATTACGAACTCTGGCTGGGAGAGTGTGATTCCACAGTAATTATTTGCGTGTGTGTACCACCAGCCAGTTCGGATTGTTTTTGGATATTTGGATGGAAAACACGTGGTAGTGGGTCTATCAACCACCCCTGCATTTGATTACAGTTCATATTTGGCGGGGCGGGCAGCCAGCTGGGATTCACACGATTCATCCATGAAGACCATGCAGGGCTTAGATGAAGTTCATCTCCTTGGTGCTGGATGGGGGCATTGCGCGAGGCCGAAACTGAAAACATCCGGCCACTGATTCGTGGGCTTCGTCCTGTCCAACTCACATCCCTTAGTAATCCTCACCATCTATATATGACACCGGCCAGCCGCTTGGAACTTTTCCGAATGCCGCTTGGAACTTTTCCGAATGTAATATAACAATTACATATATATATATATATTAGCCCCCCCCCCCCCCCCCCCAAAAAAAAAAACCTATGTTTCTGAGTGCTGGTGTGCAGTTGGTAAGCATGTTTGTTCATTTAACTATGTACTACAAAAATGTCCAAATCCATAAGGTTATGTGTTTACTAAACAGTTCTTGGATGGAGTAATCTAATTCATTGCAACTCCATGCAAAACCATATGTCTTGCTTTTAGGGTGTGAATTGTACTCCTCTTATTGAATGCAGTTGAGCAAGTACATCATAATCAGAAGGCAAAGAATTGCAATCCCTAAGTTCCAGTCTAATTCTAATGAAACTTAAATTCAAATCTGTTCAACTCTACTCTACTTTGTATATTCAAATGCAAATTTGAGTCTATTTCAATTATTTGTAAACTATATTTTGATTTAATTTACTTGGGATTCAACGCAAGCCTAATTTTAATTTGATTTCAAGCTAATTCTAACTTCATTGCTATACAAGTCAGATTCAATTCTAATATTGTATTTTTTTAATTTAGTTTAATTTGAGTGAAATTCTCATTTTCTTCTAGAGAAGTGGTGTTACTTTGAACATGAGAGATTTTATGTAGTTTTTCCAATATAGAAGAATGTGCTTTCTTAAATGAATTAAATTCACCACCAGCAACACCCACTCTCTAGAATGACACCAAAACTGAATTAGAAGTCCATGTGCATTGAACTAGAATCAAAATAGGATGAAATTAGACATATAGAAACCAAACCTAATTTGCAATGACAATAGTGTAAAATTCGATGTGTAAAACAATTGAATCTGAACCGTATACAGGCATTAAGGTTTGAAAGTAATTACTAGTAAATTGGAAGAGCCAAAGTTACAATTGAACCCAAAATAGAATGAAATAGAACTAAATTAGAAGTAGACTGGAATTAAATTAGAGTTGAAAGAAACACATTGAATAATAATCCATTACTTAAATTGAAATTGACTTAGAACTAAGGTAGAATTGAATTAGAGTTGTTTTACCTAGAGCTTGGTTAGTAGAACAGTATTGACTTAGAACTAAATTGGAATCTAAGTTCAATTAGAATTGAACTAGATCTAATTTGCAACCTCAGTTTGATTTCAATTATATAAAGTTCAATTAGGATCATTTTCTAGTTAAATTAGAAGCACGTTGCAGATTCAAATTTAGATTCAAGTTTCAATTCCATTAGATCTAAAACAGCCAAGCATATTTAGAATTAACATAGAAATGAGTAAATTAAAATATAAACTCAAATAGAATTTGTCTATACAATGAAGTTAAGCTAAATAGACTTAAATTAGACTTCAATTAGACTCAACTTACAAATTTAAATAGAAATACAAGTGATTTTGAATTGGAATCAGAATTGACTTAGAATTTAGCTAAATTGTATGCGCACTAAATTCATAGAAGTAAATTAGAGTTGAATTAGTTGTTAATTAGAATTGAATGAGGAACAAATCCAGAGAATGCCAGAGAATGCATTCCTGCCCAATACCAAGACCAAGGTCCAAGATTTGCACAGAAGTCTTGTGGAAAATCTTGGAAATACCAAGACCAAGATCCAAGATTTGGAAAATCTTGGAAATACCAAGACCAAGATCCAAGATTTGCACAGAAGTCTTGTGGAAAATCTTGGAATTGGATCTTGGATCTTGGTATTTCCAAGATTTTCCACAAGACTTCTGTGCAAATCTTGGATCTTGGTCTTGGTATTTCCAAGATTTTCCACAAGACTTCTGTGCAAATCTTGGATCTTGGTCTTGGTATTTCCAAGATTTTCCAAATCTTGGATCTTGGTCTTGGTATTTCCAAGATTTTCCACAAGACTTCTGTGCAAATCTTGGATCTTGGTCTTGGTATTTCCAAGATTTTCCGCAAGACTTCTGTGCAAATCTTGGATCTTGGTCTTGGTATTGGGCAGGAATGCCTTCTGAATGCATTGAACGCATTCTGACTGCATTCCTTCCAAAGTGGACAAACAAGTCATGCAACCTACGTGCACAAATATATATATATATATATATATGGTACCCCCCAAAAAAAACGGGATCAAAAGGCAACCCAAAATAGACACAGAATATTGCAAATACCAGCAAAAGTGATGTGAACATAGGATTTTTTTTGGGGGGTACCATATATATATATAAGTGTATATATATATATATAATAGTCAGCAAATGTCAGCGCCAAAGATCATCCAAACATGACTCTCCTTTGGGAAATTCATTTTTTCACACTCGTGTGCGCATTCAAAGTTGGCGAAACATTCTACAGCACGAACAAACCATGCCAATATCAACGACACCATGACAGTCTTTTTGACTCAGGAATGGTTGATGGCCACAAGTGAGCCCACCTATTCATAAAAATGGCCAGCTCCGTTCCGACGCTCTTTGAGCCGCTGCTCTGAATTCTTTGCCTCAACAGCGGCCGCCGAGGTTGAACTTGGGAGCCATGGATGGCCGTTGCAGCGGTGGCCCCTCCACGGACCCCGCCAATTGTTTGTTGCTGGGCCACTCCGAGCTGCCCGCGCTGGATCGAGAGGGTCAGAACCGCTCGCGCTGGGGCGGAATCCTCGTGGAGGCGGGCAGCCAACACTGAAATCCAATAGACTGCCAGACTGCAAAATACCGCAGATGAGAGACCTGTGCCGCAAAATACCGTTAATGATCATGTGTGCGATCGGCAAAGGAGTGTGGGCATACAGATCCGTCATTTTCGCTTTCTCCATCCCTACAAACAGGAGGCCAGCCTCCCACTTGCAGCCAGAGTGCACTAGAGTGAGCCACTTCTCAGGTAGATCCACCCCCTCAGCTCTTTGAACGCTTCGCCGGCCGGGACGACTTGCTGGTGGTGCCGCGCCCCGTCTTCCCGGAGAACGCGTCCGAGCTCTTCGATGGATTCGCTCCGAGCCTCGGTTGGGACCAGTTCCAGAAGAAAAAGACACCAGGGAAGAGATGGTTTTCCTCTATGTCAGGGTGCTTGGTTTTGGTAGGTGCTGAAATTTTTCGAGCGACCTACAGAACAACCATGGCGAACTGGGTCATGCTATACCTGCCAAAAAGCGAGACGGATCAATCACGCTGTCCCTTTCCTGCCCCTTCATCAGGGGGGTACAATGAGGGCTTGCAGCGTCTTGCACACACAAACAGTTGCCATAGATTCAAAACTCAGGATGTCACCCACTGATTGCTGGTGGTAGCAGTGCCTGGAAGCCTCAAGCTTGAAGCCAGTTATATAGCAGGAAATCCAAAACAATGGAGTGGGGGACCTTTTTGTCAGGGTTGGATATTGTTGGAAGTGTGTCCCTACTGCGCATACCCTCCGGCTTGCTGAGGAGGCATCCTGAAAGCTTGGATTTGCTGAAGATCGATCTGGACTCCTTCGATTGCGATGTGATTTCCAGCGTTTTGAGGGTGGGACCTTTGGCGTCCAATCCTCCCAAGCTGCTCTACATCGATTTCAACCCTCACATTCCTCCACCTTTCCTCTACCGGACCATCTCCCGCTCCCAGTCCCGCATCATACCCTTCCAAGGCAGGGTGTTTCGATCTGGCGGTTTTCAGGAGCGGGTGGGTGCAGGTAGCTCCGGTGCCACCTGTTGCGCAACAGGATGTTTCAGGTCTCGCAAAGACATACATGACGACAAATCTTCATTCGATGTTCGATTCTTTACATCGTTACCCCGTTTGGTTTCCTGCCCTTGACGAAAGAGTCTCGCACATGTTTGCTTTTCAGATGATGGATATTTTGTCATATGTTCCATCTTCCATGCGCATGGTGAAGTCAAAGGCAATCAAAGGCCCACTTCGCTATTGAGTTTGAGGTTTTCTTGTAGTTCCTCCCGAAAAGCGCTCTTTTCTTATAAGGAATCTGTGCTCTCCGTGCTCTCCCACCAGATCCAGGCCCACCCCACCAGGCCCACCACGTGGTCCGCCGCGAACGAAACGCCCCTGCCCTTCACCTGCCAGGCTCTTCGCTTCAGTGCTTCTTGGAGGCAGCTCCAGGCTTCCAGCTGCTCCATGTCGAGCTCTTCAACGCGATTTTGGTGCGACGCGACCTGCAGCGGATCTTTCCGGAACTGAGGAAGCCTTGGGGATCGGATCCTTTCAAGCAATGGGCCCACGGATCCTTGGAGGGAGCTGAATCGTTTGAGCCTTTTCATGCCTTTTCTCTATGCAGTTCTTGTGTGCTCGGACCTGTTAGGAGCTTAGGGACAAGCTGACTTGATTTCTATTGGGGGGGGTGCAATGGGGTCCAAGTGACCAAGTGGTTCGTAGCATGATTTCTCCAAGATTTGAGACGTGTCATCCACAAAACGTGGGTTGGTCATGCGATGTGAACTCCGCACAAGACGGTCACGGACCTGGTAGGGACGGGCAGGAGTCAGGAGATTTTTGAGACAAGGTGTGTTTTGTTTGATGTCCATGGTCGTTTTGGGGTGTGTTATCAAAATGACCTGTTCTTGCCACAAGCTTTACACCACCACCAGAACCAAGAAATCATAACATGAAGGTGTAGAACTTTCCGTGCACATTCACCAATCCCTCCACATGTTTGGACCCCCGCCAGCTCAAAAGATTCAATCAAACTCCCACAGTTCTTGCAGAATTGCTCCTAGTTTGCTTCAACAGCCTCTTCTTTCCCTGATGAAGCCACAGAAAAGGCGCGTCCCTGCAAAATTCCAACGTCCCACCGTCCCAGGCTACTTCTGCCACCCCTTAGCGCGCGTCTTATGGCACCGCGAGCGGCAGATCCGCTGGGAGGCTGCTGATCCGCGCCTTTGGGCCGATGAGGCCGTGCCCCTGGCGGAGCGTGGGCAGAGTCTGCTGAAGACCTTGGGCCGAGTGAGAGACCGAGCCTTGGGAGAAGAGCTGGGGCAGCTGGGGAAGAGGGTCTTGTAGTGTAAAAACCATCAGTAACACAGCTGGAAGATGTTGTGAACGGGGGATTCGAGCCGTTCAACCGTTAAACCCATGGGTGGGGGAACCTGATGAGAAGTCTTTGTTTTTGCCGTGCTGGCTGCAGTATTCCGGCGTCTCATGGGTGTGACTTAAATGTGTGAAACAGGGCTGCAGAAGGGAAGATGTGCAGGTTCGGGAGTTTGTTCCGCTTTGGTTTCACAAAATGCATCAAATGCATGGTTTTCTTTTGGTTTTGTAGTGTGCATAGTTAATGGTTTTGGTTGCTCAGGGTGCACCTGACTGGTGTGTTTGGAACGGCCCAAATCCAGAGACTAGATCATTGGATCATTGCACTTGTCAAAACGATTTCTGATCTTAACCCATAGAAGGGCCAGCACACTTCAGCACACTACATTGTGTACTGCCACACATGTTCTTCTAGTCAGTTTCATGTAAATATAGGACCTTATTCTTGATTTGGGCCCTTTTTTCTCAGCCGAAACGCAGTGACTGAGGAGTTCCCAGCTTCGAGTTCTCGTTGACCTGGTGATGGGAAGAAAGGGAGACGAAGCCGCCAGATGTTGGAGCTCAGATTGACAGAAGAACTTCGGAGATCCTCGGGGATCATCGACGAACATCGGGAAACATCGGTTCGTTTTTGGATCCCGAACGGTTCCGGTGGACCCAAAGGCGTGGTCATGAGTGTTTTGGGACTCTTGAAAAGTAAGGTGTATCTTCATCATGGCTGTTGAGTTGAGCAGATTTCACCTCGACAGAGTCGGGATAGGTCAGCCACTCCTGCTGTGGGTGGCTTTCTACACGCTGCAGCTCTCTTTGAGCAGCGTGTGAATCCAATGATCCACCAGACCCACATTCCCAGACATACATCCATTCCGATGTGCTCCATGCATCTTCTCAGGCTTCAGGAGTCCACACTTGATTCACTTGTGAAGCGAGTGGATTTCAGAGACAACAAGCTGTGGCAAACAAGCCTGCAGAGACCACCAGCGGCGCAGCGCATAGCATAGCCTTGGGAGGCCTTCACAGTCTCTTGCCCCGTTGCAAAACCCCCCGTTCGTGTACATCCCCCCTTGGGTGAGAACCATCCGGTTTTCTCAGATTCAGATCCACCCCAAAATCAGTACAGTAGTGAGATTTCTTTGAGGCAACACGCCGCGCCCAAGTGTCGCGTTCTAGTATAGACGAACCAGAGCGGCTCGTTGTCGTAGTATGTCGTAGATCATGGCAGTGCCCAGACTCCCTGTAGAGCTGGCGCAGCAGCAGAGCGAGTATGAAGAGTTGCGCCTTGGATGGACCGGAAGAGGTTGAAGTTCCGGATGGAAATGGACGGAGGATGCAGAAATGGGTTGATTTGCAGTGGAACGTGTGATAACGATTGAGAAGAAAGGCCGGGCCGGGCCGCGTTACTTTCTTTTTTGGGCCTCACGGAGGGGATCATCATACGATGCAGGGGAAATAACATGACATGACGGTTTCGGCCGATGAAATGTCGTGATACGTGGTATGTTTGCAGCAAGCATTGAGTGCCCTCCAAATGATATGTGGAGTGTGGTAGAACATGCTAAAACGAGCACTCATCAACCCCTCTATCCTCAGAACATCCTTGTCGAGTCTCTCATCGTCAGGGTTTGTTGCACAGCCAAAGAACACAACAACACACCGCTGCCGATCTCGTCAGCCCCCCCCGGTCGTGCCTATACTGTAGAAGACGCGCCCAGACGCGCCCAGGAGTGCTCCGAGTTTCCATCCGGAGTTCCTCCGCCACTACTGTGGGACGGAGGCGCTCCGCCTGCGGCCCTGCCGGCGCTCGGCCGGCTCGGTGCTCGAAGCCGGCGCTCGAAGATCGATGTTGGATCGTTTCTGTCCGGGACAAAGACCGGCTGGAAGGCACCCAAGGCACCCATCCTCGACATGAGAAAGTCAGCAGATCCTTCGACTGAAGTGGGTGTAATGCCTTAGTACTCATCAAATTCGAATCATGAAACTCGGTGAAAGGTCAACTTAGATCAGAGAGACCAGAGAGGTATATAACAGTGATTGTGAGATAGACCAACCACTCATCCCTTCACAAGACTATCGACCTCACAAGTAGACCAACTGACAGACTATAATCAAACGTGAAGAAGACATGTGCTCAACTTGACCATCAATCCACTTGATAATGCTCTTGGAATCTGTTGGAACACAACAGACCTCCAAAGCAGACCACCCCAGTGACAAGTAGACCAACACTTCTTCAGCACCCTAAAAAAGACTCCCACGCACCGGATGCGGTTCGAGCTCGTGGGATGCACACACTGACGCCCGCCAGCCTTTACCGGTGTGGCACCGAATTCCACCGGTGGCAGCGATCAGGAGTTAGAGGAGGTGACCTACCTGGAGATGCAGGTGGAGGGGGAACGACCGAGACCTGGGTGGTTGGCTCGATGGGGACGGGATCTTCCAGAGGCGCCGGCGGGAATGGATGCGGCTCACCAATGTGTTTGTATGTCTCACCATGCTGGGCAATAGAAGGTGCCCAAAGTTCGTAGGGCTGAGGGGAATGATTCTGGTAGAGGTGAAGAGTTTTTTTACAAAATTTTACTCATACCCGTTTTTTGATCCTGTTTATTAACCATAGATCAACAAGCCAACCACCTGTAGCGATGTCAGTGCACCATCCCCCGAACTGAATGGCAGCCACCTGACAGGCAGGCCTTATTTTCCCTCACACCCGATTTTGCAATTTTGACGTGGAGGAGGATAAGATAGTTTCCTGTAGACCCGAGAATATAGAAAGAAGACTCATTGTGAGATCCTTTCCCCTAGGGCTCCAAGTAGCTCAGAAGCTATTTGGACCCTCCAACCCCTCCCCAAAAGGATCTAAAAGGCACTTGTTGGAGCCCTAGGGTTCCACCTTTTTCCTCCAACACCGATGCTCTTACGCTCACATCGTCGGTACGGGAAATGGACTCATGGACTCTGCGCGGCGAGGTGGACTCCGCGTGGCAGAGTGCGGAACTCTTGGGATTGCATCTGCCAAAGCTCCTGCAGTTGAGGCTTGGCAGCGCTTAGCCTCTGGCGACGGCGTAACAGGCGTAACATGACCGGAAAAAACATGACGTAACACTCATGAGTCGAAAGGCGGATGAGAAGAATGATGAGTTATGCTCATAGTGACACGGAGAATGGTCGAGACCACGGCCCGGTCAGGTGAGATTCCTTCAAAAAGACACAGATACTGTGTATCTTCCGTGTATATATATTTATAAATAGAGTTCAAGTTCGATGTAGTTCAATTGGGTTTTGACCACTCCTTTGAAGCATGTGGACATGGCAAACTTGAGCAAAGGGAAAGCATCAAGCAAGCTATCCAGACCAATTTGGACCACTTTGATCATTCCTTTTCGGGGCACTCGTACAAGAATGTTCCCCCCGATTCGGAGATTGGTGCAATCCCGGCGAAAGCCTTCCGCCTCGTTCTTTCTTTGGGAGGACTGGGAATCCAAACCGGACCCACTGCCGGCCGGCCATACGTAAGGGAACCGAAGGCGGTGTCCGGGAGCCATTCTGGCGCGTGAGGGAGCCATTCGACGCATAGCGGTGTGGATGCGATGATCCCAGGTCTACCACTCTGAGTCCTTCAAACCAGCTGTTTCACCCAGGTCCTCACCTGGTCCCGCCTCAGGAAGTTGACGAACCCCTCGAGCATTCTGAGCCTACGCGATTTAGGCCAGCGGGGGGGGGGGGCGCAGCGGCGCATGGAACTTCTTCACCCCGACCCTATTGGAGACATCTGGGTTCACACAGCCAGACCAAGGGACCAAAAGCAACAGATGAGCATGTATTAGCACCACTAGTAAAAACATAGTAGACACATCAAAAGAGACGTCTTGCGGTCTCAGGCTCCAGCTTGAAGCAGCTGGAAATCCTTTGGATGAGCAGATGTGCGCTGCAAGATTTAGGAGGCGCCTCCGCCCTGCTGCCCTCCTTGAGGCACAGTCGACGTGGGCAGAGAGGACATCATCTAATTTCAGAGGGAAACATGTGTGTACGTGCCTTACTAGTAGTAACAAGAAGCTATTAGAAACAAGTGCATCGC